CAGGCACTGAAGCAATTCATCTCTGTGGCATACAACGTAATAGAAAGCTTCACTACGAACGTCTCGCCTAATCTGTGATTTAAAAAATGCTTCCTCTATTTCTCGCACAACCTTCTACATGAAACTTGATAGTACCTTGGCTTCTCGTAGCAAGAGTGCGCAGCCGCACTCTACGCAGTAAGAATGAACCAAATTGTATGAATGAACCAACTCGCCCAACAAGTCACTCTACCTAACTCCAACGGTGCGCCAAACAAGGTGTCATAAACTCTATGTAGCAGCGTTTTCGAAAAACACAGGTGGAGTTATCTTGGATTGTTCACAGTTAGCGCACATATCGTTTGGCACCGGGCCACTTTGCGCGGCGTTGATGTAGCACGCTTCCTGTTTTTAGTCAGCGAAATTCATGAACCACTTCAGGAGTTAGGTGTTTATCCTGGTCTCCCGTCTGCTTCAGTTCGTTTTCTTTCATTTGTCTTCTAGTGCGTCTTCTCTAAGCAAGCACCTTTAACATTTAAGCGCTAGTTCTTCCAGCCCTTCCACTTCCATTTTTTTATCTACTGTGCGCTTACAGTTCAACACAGTGTTGAAAAAGTGTAGTAGTCTGTCAGCTTGTGGTGCACAGTATTCCACATTCGTAAAATGTATTCTTTAGTGTACCTGAATAGTACATAACAAGGCCATTTTTGCGGGTAGACCAGTGCCCTAGTGCTGATTTTCTTATCTGGCAGAGTCAGACCACATCACTTCGCGGGCAAACTAAGGCGACTAGTCTTCACCTTGGCAGGTTTATGTTTCCATGTAAATGCGCCGATAACTCTCCTGAGGTGATGTACAAAACTTCTCGGCAACAGCGCAATGTGTGTGTGTAGGGCTAGTAAGCACACGCACATTGCTTAGTGTTTATTCCACCTGCCCTTGCAGTGAGTGACACCTTGTATGCCGATGGCCTACTTGTCACCTTCCTCGTTTGGGCTGTGGTGTCTACCCTTCTCTTATTTGCATAGTTCTCGTTTTCAAAGGTCAGACCGAGAGCTCTGACAGGGTCCACGTACTGAATTTCGACAGGAAGATCGTTGGTGAGGGCAGCAAAGCACGTCGCCTTTCTTTTCCCAGTATTCAAGTATGCACCGAAAAGAGAGCGGAGTAATGCTCATTCATCTTTAAAAATAGGGCAGACATAATTTTGTTTTTCGGAAATCTCCAATTATCACTAAAGAAACAAAGAATGCCTAAACTAGAAAAACACTCGGAAAGACGTGTTACTCAAATACACATCATTAGTGCAATATATAGCGAAAATGTGGTACTCCTGAATAAAAGAAGTCAATAAATTTTATAAATAATGATTTTATGACTTTTCGATTGAAATCAGAGAAATTTTATACTTTAGTGATGAGGGTAAGGAGTTGCATAATGAGAAGACACAGAAATGTTAAGATGATCTAACCTAGTTAGCATGAACATTAGAATGCGGGAAGTTTTTATTAGCCGCAAACCTGATATTGTTAGTATTAAGCAAAAGTTCAGAATAAATAAAATTATTAAGAAGTTTATGTGCTTTTGTTTACGCAGAAACGTAAATTAAGTAAATCTAAATAAGTTGCTAACAGGGATGATGTTATTACAAGGGAGGAGGTGAGTGATGTTACTGTCAAGAGTGCAGTTAAAATGACGCGAAGTGCTCTATTTTGTAAATACTGCAAGAATAAAAGGTGACACTGATAGGAATTACTACATGAAGCAATACCGTACGTTATCTGACAATGTATGAAAGCGAAGTAAAGAGAAACGAGTGCTTTGTGAGAAAATATGAGCGAGCTTTGGAAAGGCGCTAATTTCGAATGCTGACATTTTTCTACCGTGAGCAATATGTAGGTAAAATTTAAGGTTAGCATTGAGTAGAACACCAAGAAGTCATACGCTGTCACTGATAATAATAAAATGAAAGTCTATTGTGATCACAAATGATGAAGTTATCTTGCGTTAGGGTGATCTAAAAACCAGGGTGCTTTGTTACTTTCCTCATGAGGACACCCACTGACAATACAAGTAAAATTGGAAAGGCTTGACCACTGGGTGTTTAGAAAAAAGTGTATAATGATTTAGAGTAATTAATACTGAAGCATGGGAGAGCAGTGAGCCGTCCCGGTGGGCAAACGACTATAAAGGCAAGTGAAGAAGGGAAGTGCGATTTTACACGTCACTTGTACATCTACAAACTACACAACGAAAACAAGTGAAAACATTGTATACATAATACAAATGAGCACTAAAAACAATTTACCTATGTGTATTCGAATGTTACGAGTTTGTTTAGAAAAAGTTGTTAACTATTTAGAGTATTAGGTACTCTACTATGTGAGAGCATAGAGCCGTCCCGTAGGCCTCACACCTGAGGATGCCGCGGCGACAAAAATTACGCCGTGAACGAGCTCACGACAATGCATGGTATAGAAGGAGTCCTAGCGGGAACCGTGCTACTGAACACTTTGAGCGATTACATTCTTTTTCAAAATTTTTATTTACACCATGTAGAAAAAACAAGAAAATCATAACGTTCCAACAATAAGGCGACCAAACACATGTTGTACATTACTAGGTTGTAGTGAACGCAAGATCATCTGTTATATACATGGCAGAAGCGGCATGCATATACAAAACAACTCGATGGAATACTATGATACAACGGACACAATTGTACGATGATACAATATATGCAATGAAAACAATTGGCTACAAAAAAGGCGCGAACGACGACTCAACTGGCGCTGTTTAGCACCTTATTAGTACGCAAATTAGTTGTATCTTTCCTTTTTCAGCAGTGACAAAGGGAGCACGGCCAAGGCCACAGGAACTCGCGCTACCCTAGGAAGACGAGCTCTTAAGAGAAGAACGCGTGGACCTCTCATTTCCTTCGCCCCAATATCGGCCACAAAGCACACAGGCGTGGATTTTTATCCACGGCGTCAAATTGGTTTTAGCCAAGGGCTGAATGTCGCGTAATAATTATAAAAGCCAAAAAGTGACCACGCGGAAAGCGGCCGCCGGACACGAATGTGCACACTACTCTGTTCAAGAAAACCAGCATGGACCTGCACGATAAAAAAAACCTGCTCATCTACAGAGTGAATGATGATGAAGCAGCTTGCACAAGACATCGAATCCGGTAAACCGTGAATTCTCTACACATACTCTAAATCATCATTATATAAAGACGAGACACGAGAGTTGTGCTCTGATTGTATATACACGTGAAATACACAGTGCTTTTTTATTGTGATAGCAAAACATATGAACACACTCAGCTGGATTTCGCGCTGGTATCAGCGAGGGCGTCGATGTCACGCACTGTATATGTATACGTATCGCTATATATGAAAACGCAAAAAAGAAAAAAAAATCCCCGAAATAAGACTTCGGCGCGCGGAATCGCCCGTGCGACCTCCGCGTCGTAAATGTGAGGCGTTAACCACTGAGCCACCGAGAGGTACCTCCTTCAACGATCATACGGCAAGCTATTGATACCTACTATTTACCGATGTTGGCGGGCATCTCGGGAGGAAAGTATTGTGTTTTCAGCATTATCAGCAAGATGGCGCAGTGAGCGCGCGGAAGCTCTCATCTCTCACGCGCACTTTGCCCCACGTAGAGAATAAGTGGGTGTACGCTTGATCGCGTGCCCTTGTCTTGCAGTGGGGAGAATCGTACGTCTTGACTAGCCTTTGAGTTTTGTCGGTGCGATTATGTTGTAGTTACCGGGCGTGCAAATGTCACTGTGATCGTTGCACAGCCTCCGGTTCCGAAAAGTGCGGGCTTTTCAGACACAGTGAAGTAACAACTGATACGCTTGTTCACGTTATACTGTGCATGTGAGTACGTTTTATGCGTCCTTTGTGCGTGAGAAACTCGGGGCACGTTTCAATCTGCTTGCCCTTCAGCGTGCGTATTTCCAATTTGTTGCTATCGCATTCATTCTTTCACCTTTGCGGCAAAGCTGTGACTGTTTTGAAGAGCGATGCCAAACGCCCTGCTGCCAGTCTACAAGCATGATACCATCCGCAGTCTGGGACAGTCATTACTTTAGGCGTTCGTCGTCTTGCCTCCACTTCATGGAGGGCTGTAACTGTTATATGCGCAGCGCGCGACTCATCGTCTGTGTAGAAAACATATCAGGCTATCGGCAGACGCGCCATTGTCGGCACTCAAGAAGCTGCAACGCGCGATGCCTGGCTCAGCGACGACCATGGCGTTCACACTACTTTCCACCACCAGCATTTCGAATGCGCGTCTCTTCCTTGCTCGCTGCTCATAGCGACACGCAGCCATCGTGGTCCTCACCCGCTGCGTGGACCCAGTATGGATCCTCACCCGCTGGGCTCAGGCTAGCGAGCGTCACCTGTAGGGAGCCTACATGACAACTTTGGCAGTCGTGTAGGCTCTCTAGTATGATGATGATGATGATATTTGAGGCTGATCCCTTGTACCGGGTGGGCCGGATTAATCTGCCCTAGCCAGAGTAAAAAACACTTAAAAAGTAAATAAACTAAAACACTCCACAGGCGCACACACTCGCATCTGCACACCTTCAATTTGTCCACATGAAATCATTACCGCTGCGTCGTGCGCCACCACTGCACCAGCCTTGTTTTGGTGGTGCGTATTACCACAAAGTTCACTGTACCAGCCGCTCCATCGCCTGTGGGTGGCCCCGGGTCATCTTTGTGAACAAACCCCAGAGCCTCGGGCAGTGTGGTGCCCTTTCGTTGGTGTGAGCCCAAACACGTACAGCGTTGCACTAGATAGGGGATGGTTTCTTCTTCTTGCCCGCACACCTGGAACATCACACTCGTGTCATCGGTATTTTCGTCGACTTGGCGACGGTACACAAGGGTTCGTAGTGCCCAGCCCGTGCTTCGAACAGAAGGCCTCAACCACCATTGTTGTCGTACAGGCGCTCCTTTTTTATTTCATTCTTGCAACTTCGATATACCGTCAAGGTTGCCTTGGAACGCATCGCCCTCCGCCACTGCTCATTCTCTTCCTCCCGTACCTGTTCTTGGACGACACGGGCCCACCCGAACTCTGTGCTTGCCTTCACGGGTTTCACGAAGAAACCAAACTTTCGGCGCAGGGTGTACATCCGCGCAGTCCAATGTGTCGTTATTCCAGTCAGGCTGGTGTATCGGAACAAGCGTCTTGCCCACCTGTTGTCATTCATGAGATGCAGGCGGCCCTCGTAGGCTATCTTGCTCCTGGCTTCTCGGGCCTCATACAAAGACCATGCAACGTCGCCTTGAATGGCCTCTATAGCAACTCGTCCGTGGCATCCCAAGGCAAGTCGACCAACCTCCCGCTGCCCTCGTTCCAGCCACTGTCTGGTTCCTGGTTGGAAGGTTAGTACAGCATTGGCAAACGACAAGCATGGGACATGCACGCACTTCCACATTTCCCGAAACAGCAGGAATCGGTTACAACCCCAAAGACTTCGTTTGCGCATAACGTTCGCCGCTTTGCGTGATGTTTGGCGGATGTTTTCCTCGTGAGTGTGTAGAACTTGCCTTGATTTACTGAGTTAGACACCGAGGTATCTGTACTCTTCCTTCCATGAAATCTGTCCACCCTCCGGCAGCAACACTGCCGCAGTTATATCTGTGCCTGCAAACACCAGCACCGCTGATTTCTTGGCATTGAAGCAGAGTCCAAGTTTGCTTAGGTGATTTGCCGATAATGAAACGAGATGCGGCAGGTCACCCAGACTGTCAGCCATCAGGACAATATCATCCGCGCATACCAGGCCCGGAAGCCTTCAGGACACTGGTGCTCTGCCATATGAGTGGGCAGGAGAAAATCCCCCTCCATCCGTCAGCAGCACCCTCTCGAGGCTGGCCGTATACAGCATGTACAGCAGCGGCGACAATGGACATCCCTGTTTGAGACCCCGCTTTACCGTCACTGGTTCGGCTTGGGTTTCGGCAAAACACGCCACCATGGTATTGTCCGTGTACAGCCGTCGCAGCAGTTTAACCCATGTCTTCGCATGCCAATCTGCGTCATGCAGTGAAACAAAAGGTCCATGCGGTACGCTATCATATGCCTTCGCGACGTCGAGAAAACACGCGTACAGTCCTCTGTTCTCCTTTCGTGCTATCTCGATAGCGTGGGTTAGCACAAATACATTGTCCTCGAGGCGCCGTTCAATGCGGAAATCATTCTGCAGCTCCGTCAATTGGTTGTCGTGTTCTGCCCAGCCGCCCATTCACGTCTTTAAGATTTGTGTGAAAGTTCGGTATAGCACGCTGGATCCTGTGAGGGATCTGTACCCACGTAGCAACCTGCATCTCCTCCTCTCTTCGGCACTAGGATCACTCGGCCAGATCGCCAATCCTCTGGTATTGGTTCTCCTGTCATGATGCCTGAGAAGATATCTGCCAGCTTCCTGCCTGGCCTCGTCTCCTAAGCATTTGAGCAGCCTCGCAGGTATGCCGTCCAGCCCTCGGGCGGTGTGTGCTCCTATGCGTTGAATCGCTCTGTCTAGAGCTAGACGGGTTACTTCCCATTTATTCTTGTTGCTCAGGCAGTATTCATTGATGGGGTTATCGTCAGTTAATATGATCACTGGATCGCCATTGCTGAAATCGTACAGTTTACGTATGTGGTCTGCGAGGTGCTTGTCCATGTCTGATATTGGCAGTCCTGTATCCTCATGCCGAATTTGGGTACCTTGGCTTTCCCACTCAGGGACGACACGTAGGTCCAAAACTTCCTGGCTCCATTGCGTCCGTCCGCTGTGAAAGCTTGGAGATGTCGAGTGTTGTGCTCAGTGATTTTGTTTTGGACTATTGTCTGCATAGCGTGTCTGCAGTTTAGGTATTCCTGCCATTCTCGGAGACCATCACTTGCGGAAAGGATTTTCAGTGCTTTCGTGTGCCGGCGATTTCCCTCTTTGCGATCGTCCAAGGCTTTCTGCACTTCTTGAGCGCACCATCCTTTTCGTCGCACCCCTCCTCGTGAATTGGAGTGGACTTCGTGTTCCCGCATTAGGCGTTGCAGTCCCTCCACGAACTCTTTATAATTGAGAGGTTTAGAGGTCTGTGTGCTGTTCTCGAACACCTGAGAAATGTCTTCGTAAGAATCTTCAGGCAGGAGTAGTTGCGCAGACTTCCGGCATTCTCACTTTTTTTAAACCACATGGCGGAGCAGATTGTAAGGCTGATCCTAATGTGGTCACTCCCTATGCTGGAGTCTCCCCCCCCCATCAATGTTGACGTGGTTGACCTGACGTGCCAGTCGGGATGAGACAAGTACATAGTCAATACATGTCCGACTGTATCTGGCACACCATGTAAATTCTCCTTCGCAATATGGCCGGAGGTTGGCCACTTCTAGGTTGTGGCTTCTTGTACACTACTGCATGAGGTCGCCATTGAAGTCTAGGAATCCATCAATTTCTTGGATGTGGCCATTGAAGTCTCCCCGTCCCCCACCGCTGGATGTCATCACTGATGCACTGCATAGTTCGGACGTTACCTTCGTGTTGTCCACTCGTGACTGTGAGATAGAGTACACACGCTATTGTAGGAATCCCTAAGATTGTTCCATGGATCCACATGTGTTCACTACACTGGCACTTTAGTTTTTCCGACACTTGTTCATTCCGCCTTAGGAAGCCTATTCCGCCACCCTTGCGCGCTTCCCCTTCACGGTTGTTACAGGCCCACTGCCAATCTGAATTAACTGGTGGCTTCTCTAGCTCGCGAAGATGCGTCTATGCTGCCTCGTAAAGCTCTATGACCTCAGAATCCAACATCCTGTAGAGCTCCTCCCACCTGCTTAGCTTTCTTGCTCCATGCATGTTTGGGAAGCCTACTTTTGTAGAAGTAACTCTCGTGCGATGTCGGCGTCTGCCTCCCGCATGCACTCTCACTGGCTTGAGTCTAGTGGGCGTACTTTGTGCCTGGGAGGTTACTGCTTTCTGGCCATGTGAAGGAGTGCCTTCTCTATGGTAGCCATTATTTTTTTTTATTTGAATTATCGGGGTAAGGTATTTATGTTATTTTTGTAAAAAAGAGAAACGCCTGTGGCTTAGACGACTACCTGCTTCCTGTGGTCTATAAGGTTGCTCTGAATCACCTTCAGGCCTCCTTCTCCCAGCAATAACAAGCTCTACTCTTGTTCCCAGTTCAGCATACATTCGATCAAGACATTGGTTCCAGCCTTTATACCGTGTCACATCTCTTGCTTATCCTTGTACAGTTTCTGGCATCCCCTTAATAACGAAGAAGAGGCCACTACCTCTCGGTTTCCAGACAAGTATGTTGGCCTTTAAGGTTAGGCCACCTCCCCTGGCACCTCATCTTTCTGCAGGTTGGTGAGACTCGCGTGTAGGACAACCATGGCTTCAGGTACGTTCCAAATATCTGCTGCAGAATCCACTTGAGCGCTGATTTCTTGGTTAGAGGCACCATCACTCACCCAGTAGTGAACCAGCTTGTTCAATTTTACCATGTGTAGGACTGTGTGTTTCACCCTGGCGGCACTCTCGTCTCCGTAGATGAATGCATGTCGCTCTTTCCTTTTGACACCCGTGCTGTCCTTGAGATGTTCTTGCGTGTGTGGAGTGGCAACTGGGGAGCCTTCTGATGTTGTCAATTCTTGGATCTCTAGTGATTTCTGCTTCTTCTTGCCTTTCTTGCTTAAGGCAACTTTCCATGCTTGTCCAGTTTGCGGACCTTCTTTCTCTACATTCTGATCTCTTCTCAACACCTTGTCTCTCTTGCCAGAGTCCAGGCTACTCTTAGGTTGGCATTCTGCGTTGTCGCCTGTTGTTGCGCATCCAGATACCCGCCTCTCATTCTCCTCTGCTGCAGCGCTGCCCTAGGCTAAGTTTTGATCTGCTGCCTCTAAGCGCGTATACAGAGGAGCGTTCCGAAGCTCTTCAACCTGTGCGCACAGAGCTGTCATAACTATCATTTAAAGCGCACGAAAAAAACAGACATAAAGATAGGACAAGCGCTTTCCCGCAACTAAACTGTTAATTAGAAAGGGCGGAATATAAATACAGGCAACTGAAAAACACGACGCATGCGTGTGCAGGCAAAAAAAGTACATCAATGGCACATCAAGAACACATGGTAAAAGAAGACAGATTACCTCGGAACCTAATCAAGAAAAACAAACTCTTTATCGTGCAGCAAAACAGAAGGCTGGCTGACGCATTGTTCCCCTTGTGATGACGTTTATTCGAGCCGAGAAGTCGCAGCGAGGTCGCAACGGAAAGTGGGCGTACGGCAAGTCTGGCAGAGGCGGCACAAACTCTCGCGCAAGCAGAGCACCGGCTTTTTTGTTGTCTTCCGAAGGCGCATACGCGTTGGTGCGTATGCTCCACTACAATACCCCCGGGATGAAGGGTAGCCATCCTGGCGACTCAGGGAGTAGGCACAATGATGGGGTCGTAGTAGGGCTTGAGACGGTCGACGTGTACGGTCTCGCGTCCTCGACGGCGCAAATCTGGTGATTGTGTTAACGGCTCGATGATGTAATTCACCGGGGAGGTCGCGTTAATGATACGGTACGGACCATGGTACCGGGCCAGAAGTTTGGAAGATAGGCCAGGAACGTGCGGGGGCACCCAAAGCCACACAAGGGAGCCAGCACGAAATGTAGGAGCTATGCGGTGAGCGTCGTCGTGTCGAGTCTTTTGTAGACCTTGAGCCTCACTTGTCAGAGACCGAGCCAACTGACGGCAGTCTTCCGCGTATCTGGCGACTTCCGAAAGCGGGGAGCACTCAGATGCATCAGGGCGGTACGGTAGTATAGTGTCGAGGGGGTGGGAAGGTTCGCGGCCGTACAATAGAAAGAACGGAGAAAAACCGGTAGTCGCTTGCGTCGCGGTGTTATAAGCGAAGGTAACAAAGGGCAATACAGCGTCCCAGTTAGTGTGGTCGGAGGAGGTGTACATCCTCAGCATGTCGCCAAGTGTGCGGTTGAACCGCTCAGTAAGACCATTTGTCTGTGGATGGTATGCGGTAGATTTCCGGTGGATAATGTTGCATTCAGCGAGGATAGCTTGGATGACCTCCGACAGGAACACTCGACCCCTATCACTGAGTAATTCCCGCGGAGCACCATGGCGTAGAATGAAGCTGCGGAGAATGAAGAGTGCAACTTCGTGGGCGGTCGCTGCCGGTAGAGCTGCAGTCTCAGCGTAGCGTGTCAGATGATCGACTCCGACAATAATCCACCGGTTTCCAGAGCTACTATATGGGAGTGGGCCATAGAGGTCTATACCCACGCGGTCGAATGGGCGAGCCGGGCACGGCAGCGGCTGTAACATGCCGGTAAGGTGCCGCGGAGGTGTTTTGTTCTGTTGGCAAGTGGTGCAAGACTGAATGTATTTCT